CAAAACAATGTAGAGGGAATTTTGGTAGTTACTCCCTTCTATGCTTTTGACTATGAGAATGTATGACACTCTCCCCAAAGAAAACTGTTGAAGTTGTCAGGATTGTTTCAATCTAAAGGGGAGGGGTGTTGTGTCCTGAGCCTGCAAATGCAGGCTAAGGATATTGCAATGGTTCCGGGCATTGCAGAAGCTGCCCGGGACCAGACTGAGTGGCGCCGGCATTGCCATATAAAAAGAGGCCTGCATGCCTTTGCTTGTTGGTGGTGTTTTTTTTTTTTTAAATTTTTATTATTTTATTTTCATTACAATCATAAGAAAAAAAATTTCAGATACATAACAAGTTAAAATACAACACACAAATTCCGGCATTGCTCACCCATTTCCCCCCAAACCGCATCCCCCTCTCATCTTTTCACTTCCCCCTTCCTTCTTCTTCCTCACTCTCTTCCTCTCCTCCCTCCCTCCTCCATCTTTCTACTTGCTTATCCCTCTCCTCTTCTTCTCAATCGGATGCGGTCTAGGGGAAAATGCCCAAGCAATCCTCTATCACCAAAAAAAAAATAAAAAAATCTTAAAAATATAAAACTATTACTTATCTGAACTATTGAACATACTACCCATACTCTCCCCTCCCCCTTCCCCTCTTGTTGTTGGTGTTTTGACTGAAAACAAAATAAAGAGTTGTTCCTTGCAAGATGTGTCTTCATCATTCGCCATTATTGGAAGGATTTAACACCTTCCTTCCTTCTTTCCTTCACCTCCTTCTTAGTATCTTCCTCCTTCCCTCCCTCTCTCCCATTGTCCCTTCCTTCCTTCTTTCTTTCCTTTCCTTCCCCTCCCTCTTTGTCCCTCCCTTTCTTCCCTCCCTTCCATTGTTCCTTCCTTCTTTCCCTCTCTCATTGTCCCTTACTTCCCTCCCTCTTTGTCCCTTCCTTCCTCCCCCCCTCCATGCCCAGGAAGGGACAAGGGGAGGAGGATAGGCTGCCAGCGTGGCCGATGGCTTTGGTGCCGGTGGCCATGGCGACATGCCAAGCCTGCCTGTGCACAGGCAGAGCCAGAGGAGAGCTCTGCCCAGCTCACTTGCTCAGCTTCACTGGAAGACATGCCGCTTCCTAAGCTAGCACAAGCTCCAGGATCAGCGCCGGGCTACAGCTTATTTGCACTTCTGCTAAATTAGCAAGCAGCATGTTTTCTAGCAAAGCTCGAGCAAGTTTGCTGGGCAGGAGCCAAGGAGAGCAGCTACAGCTGATCTGCACTTCTGGGCTGCTCTGCTTGACAGGGAGAGAGGGAAGGAGGAACAAAGAGGGAGGCGAAGGAAAGGAAGGAAGGGAGGGAGGGAGGGAGGGAGGGAGGGAGGGAGGGAGAGACAATGGGAGAGGGAGGGAAGGAGGAAGAGACCAAGAGGGAGGGAAGGAAAGGAAGTCCAGCCAACGGAGGCTTGGCAGCCCGGCTGCCAAGGAACAGAAGAGCACAAAGCCTATGGGCTACAGCTGATTTGCACTTCTGCTAAATTAGCAAGCAGCATGTTTTCTAGCAAAGCTCGAGCAAGTTTACTGGGCAGGAGCCAAGGAGAGCAGCTACAGCTGATCTGCACTTCTGGGCTGCTCTGCAGAAGCACGGATCAGCTGTAGAGGCTCACCCCGGTCCTGGACAAGAGGGAAGGAAGGATAGAAGGGACAAGAGGAAAGAGAGAGGGAATGAGGGACAAAGAGGGAGATGAAGGAAGGAAGGAAGGGACAAGGGGAGAGAGAAAGGGAAGGAGGGACAAAGAGGGAGGCGAAGGGAAGGAAGGAAGGGAGGGAGGGAGGGAGGGAGGGAGGGAGGGAGGGACAATGGGAGAGGGAGGGAAGGAAGAAGAGACCAAGAGGGAGGGATAGTGATTAGCTCAAAGCACCCTGCTTTTATATTCCTATGGTAATTGCAGCAGTCACAAATCTTCTGAAGATTTTTCTAATGTAGAATACAAGCACGACTCTCTTCTATCAGAAATAACAGAATAACAGAGTTGGAAGGGATCTTGGAGGTCTTCTAATCTAGCCCAACCCCGTACTCAAGCAGGAAACCCTATACCATTTCAGACAAGTGACTGTCCAGTTTTTTCTTAAACACCTCCACTGATAGAGTACCTACAACCTCAGGAGATAATCAGTTCCACTGATTAATTGTTCTAACTGTCAAAAAAGTCTTTTGAGTTCTTAGTTGGTTCTCTTTGATAACTTTTCATCTGTTACTTCTTGTCTTGCCTTCAGGTGCTTTGGAGAATAGGTTGACCCTCCTCTTCTTTGTGGCAGCCATTCAAATATTGGAAAACTGCTATCATGTCATGTAGATGTCTTAATGAATCTACTTTTTATTTCAAATATAAAAGAAAGTCTATTGGCATTCCTTGGTATCTGAACTAAGCCCATTCTCTGCATTCAGAGCAATTACAGGTAGTCCTGGACTTACGAGCTCAAAATTTCTGTTGCTAAGTGAGACATTTGTTAAGTGATTTTGTCCCATTTTATAACTTTTCTTGCCACAGTTGTTAATCACTGCAACTGGTAAGTTAGTAACACTGTTGTTAAGTGAATCTGGCTTCCCCATTGACTTTACTTGTCACAAGGTTGCAAAAGGTGATCACATGACCCCAGGACACTGCAACCATCAGTTGCCAAGCATCTAAATTTTGATGACATGATCATGCTGCAACAGTTATAAGTGGGAAAAATGGTCATAAGTCATTTTTACTGTTATTGTAACTTTGAACAGTCACTAAATGAACTGTTGTAAGTGGAGGACAACCTGTATATCATGATCATTTTATTTTTCAGAAGTATTGCTCTGTTAATTTTGTTTTCCAATCTCCCAATACTAGGAAAGTGACATAATATTTGAATATTACAAGCATTTGCTGATGATTTAGTATTTATCTTGGAAGAACCTTTAGAGATGATTCCTAAACTATGGGGAAAGATAGAAGAGTATGGAGAAAAGCAGGATTAAAAATAAATAAAGAAAAACTAAAGTAATAGTTAAGAACCTCACAGATAAACAAAAAAGGCAAATACTAGAGAAAACAGAGGTGCAAATAGTGAAAAAAGTTAAATATTTAGGTATTTATCTTTCAGCTAAGTGAAAGACAATTATACAAAACTATTGAAGCAAATAAAGCTAGACTTGGAAAGATGGAAAAATTTGCAGCTGTCAATATTAGGAAGAATTGCTACAGTAAAAATTTTATTTCTATTTTATTTTATTTTATATTTCTATTTTATTTCTATTTCAAACGATTCCGATAAAACTTGAGAGAAAATTCTTTCAAGATTTAAATTCATTGGTTTTGAATTTTATTTGGCAGGGGAATAAAACTAGAATTAATATGAAAACATTACAAGATGCTAAGGAAAATGGAGGTTTTGGGTTGCCGGAATGGACGTTGTATACCAAGCATCTGTGTTAACATGGGTGAAAGAGTGGATAACACTTAGAAATAAAAGGTTGTTGTATCTAGAGGGACATGGTTTACAATTGGGATGGCACGCTTTCTTATGGTATGGGAAAAACAGAATCCATAAGTACTTTCAAAATCATTTTATAAGAAATGCCTTGTCAACAGTATGGGAAAAAATTAAAGCTAAAATATATCTAAAAATTCCAGGGTGGTTATCAATGATGGAGGCATTTATACATCCAAACTTATTTATTTTTATTTTATTTTTAAAATTTATAAGCCGCCTCACTCCCGAAGGACTCTGGGCGGCTAACAATAAAAAACACATAAAACATAACAAAACAACAATACAAAAACAATCATCCAGGGGTAAGGTTTTATAAACCCCAGGCCTGCTGGAAAAGCCAGGTCTTAAGTAGCTTACGGAAGACCAACAGGGTGGGAGCGGTCCTAATCTCCGGGGGGAGCTGATTCCAAAGCGTGGGCGCCATCACAGAGAAGGCCCTCCTCCGTGGCCCCGCCAAATGGCACTGCTTGGCCGAAGGGGCCTGAAGGAGGCCCAGCCTGTGGGATCTAACCGGACGTAGGGAACTATGAGGTAGTAGGCGGTCTCGCAAATAGCCTGGCCCTGAGCCATATAGGGCTTTAAAGGTAATGACCAACACCTTGAATTGGACCCGGAGACCAATAGGCAACCAGTGCAGCTCACAGAGGATAGGTGTAACGTGGGTGTATCGAGGAGCACCCACTATCACTCGCGCGACTGCATTCTGGACCAACTGTAGTCTCCGAATACTTTTCAAGGGTAGCCCCATGTAGAGCGCATTGCAGTAGTCCAAATGTGAGGTGACAAGGGCGTGAGTGACTGTAAGGAGAGCCTCCCGGTCCAGGTAGGGTCGCAACTGGTGCAACAGGCGAACTTGTGCAAAGGTCCTCCCAGCCACAGCCGTCAACTGATGTTCCAAATTCAGCTGTGGATCAAGGAGGACACCCAAGTTGCGAACCCGCTCCGAAGGGGGTATATTTTCCCCCGCAAGAGTCAACACTGGACAGTCGACATGATTCTTGGGAGGCAACATCCAAAGCCACTCAGTCTTGTCAGGATTGAGCCTGAGTCTGTTAACCCCCATCCAGACCCTCACGGCTTCGAGGCAACGGCCCATCACATCGGCCGCTTCACTGAGAGAGCTCGGGGAGGAGATATATAACTGGGTATCATCAGCATACTGATGAAACCTCACCCCGTGCTGTCTGATGATCTCACCCAGCGGCTTCATATAAATGTTAAATAGGAGGGGAGAGAGGACCGACCCCTGTGGCATGCTGCATTCAAGGGGCCTCGGGGTTGACCTCTGCCCTCCCACCAATACCAATTGCGACCGGCCAGAGAGGTAGGAGGAGAACCACTGTAAAACGGTGCCTCCCACTCCCACCCCTTCGAGTCATCGCAAAAGGATACCATGATCGATGGTATCGAAAGCTGCTGAGAGGTCAAGTAGCACCAAGACAGAGGAATAACCTGTCTCGGGCCCACCAGAGATCATCCATCAGCGCGACCAAAGCGGTGGTTTCTGTGCTGAAGCCGGGCCTGAAGCCAGATTGAAAAGGGTCTAGATAATCCGCTTCATCCAGAGACACACCCTAATACAATAAACTAAAAAAGGTTAAAAAACAATCATACAGTCAGCATACACTAGCTAAAAGATTCTGAGAATCAAGGTCAAGAGTCACAAAGGGCCAGCCCCCCCCCCCCGCAGCAGCAGCAGCAATGACAACAGGATGGTGCCAGCCAGGCCCCCCATGGTGCATGGCAGCCCCACTGGTCTCGCAAGGCCGGACTGACAAACATGGCCACACGATGAAAGGGTGTAGCCCGCCAGAGGCCACGAGGAGAGAAGGGCCTAGTGTTTCTCCTCCTCCCTCTACAGTCGTCCTCTGGCGGTGGCGGTCCTCCCGCAAGGTTCCAGCTGGGCGGTGCCGATGCGGCAATGGTGACTGGCTGGCTCCGTCTCCGGGGCTCTCCTTTCCGCTGGTCTTCCAGCTCCGGGATACGTTGGAATACATATGGGATACGTTGGGCATTACTCATGTAGCGACAGTTCTGTTACACCATTTGTTTCCTCGCAATGCTTTTAACCCACGGATTTAACAGTGGTCAATCTCTGGCAGCAGCAGCTTGCACAAGATGTTAATGGTCAGTTTCTGGCAATAGCAGCTTGTGTGAAATGGTAGTTAATCTTTGGGAACAGCAGTTCACATTAGATGATGGTGGTCAGTCTCTGGCAACAGCAGCTTTCATGAGGTGATGGTGGTCAGCTTTCATGAGATGATGGTGGTCAATCTCTTGCAACAGCAGCTTGCGTGAGATGATAATGGTCAGTTTCTAGCAATAGCAGCTTGCGTGAGATGGTAGTTAATCTTTGGGAACAGCAGTTCACATTAGATGATGATGGTCAGTCTCTGGCAACAGCAGCTTGCATGAGGTGATGGTGGTCAGCTTTCATGAGATGATGGTGGTCAATCTCTAGCAACAGCAGCTTGCGTGAGATGATGGTGGTCAGTCTCTGGCAGCAGCAGCTCATGTGAAGTAATAGTTATTGGTTTCTGACAGCAGCAGCTTGCAGGAGATAATGGTAGTCAATCTCTAGCAACAGCAGTTCACGTGGGGTGATGGTGCTCAGTCTCTCACAGGCAACTCACGTGGACTTTGGTAGACTTTGAAAAAATATAGACATATAAAGATATTCTAGATATGATGGGAAATTAAAATCTAAACAAGAACTGGAAAATCAGGGAATTAATTGTCTTGGTGGGCACATTTACAGATACAAAGTAGATATGAAAAAGGTGTAAAAATGTATGGATTTTACAAGGATCAAACTGTGTTTGATAAGATTTTGTTAACCTCAGATGAGAAATTAATTAAGAAAATGTATAACTTTTTGTTAATTTTAGATATGGAAAGTGAACAAGTGAAAGAAACAATTACAAGATGGGCAAAAATTTTTGGCTATAATATAGAATTAGAAAAATGGCAAATGTTATGGGAGAGAAACTATAAATTAACAATGCCAACTTCATACAAAGAAAATCTGTATAAAATGTTTTACAGATGGCACCTGCCACCAGCAAGATTAGCAAAAATGTTTAAAAATATGTCAGATAGATGTTGGAAATGTAAACGTAACACAGGCACATATTATCACATTTGGTGGACATGCGGTAAGGCAAAGGCCTATTGGAGAAAGATACATATGTGGTTAGAAAAAATATTGGTTGAACAAGTGGATTTTAAACCTGAACTTTTTTTACTAGGTATTATGCCTGAAAAGACTAATAAGCAGAAATTATATTTAATCTTACACATTACTACAGCAGTGAGAATAATTTTTGCATTAATACTGGAAGAATGAAGGATTGCCATCAGAGGAAGAAATAATCAGGAAAATATTGGAATGTGCAGACATGGACAGATTAACTATGAGGTTGAAAGATAAAGAAGATACAGACTACTATCAAATTTGGGACTTATTTGATTGTTGGCTAGAGGAAAGAATGAAGGATTAGGAATTGAACATGTATTAGCATAGCAAACTCCAGACAACTTGTTGATTGGAAAAATTAACATATGTTGATGAAAAAAACCAATAAAATCTTTATTAAAAAAATATTTGAGTAATTATATGATCTGATCAAATATAATTGTTATGATGGCCCTGCCCTCACTCAGTACACTACTCAGTACACTACTCTGGCCTCGTCTGGATGTAAAAACTTCAGTTCCCAGAATTCTTCAGCCAGCACGCCATCAGAGAACATGCTATTTGCACATGGAGGTCCAGTGAAGACTGACTTTCTTGCCATTGTGGACATGATTTGCAGGGTATATCCTGTGAGAAAGATCATATTGGCTGTCGCACAGGGGATGTTATGCCCATCTACTTCTGGCATTATTTTGAACCTGATGATGTCCCTTCTGGTGTGATCTTATGATAAGCCATCATTTAAAAAGTATACACTCTTAGTACTATGGCCTCTAGTTAAGTTAAATATAGGTAATCCTCAACTTACAACAGAAGAAAAAGGTTGATTGTGAGGTAATGCTATCTATTATAAAGCCCTTAGAGCACGAAGAAGTAAATAAGGATTTGCAAAGCAATACTAGCTCAGAATATCCACACAATCTTCCATTATCAGGAAAGGGTTTAGTCACTTTCCTTGTTCTTCAAAGAGTTCTTAGCAAGGGAGTTAAGAAGTCTCCACTCTAGCAGATAGAGAAATAAATAGATTGTTAGTGAAAACATCTAGTTATTAAGTTTTCTGTAACTAGACAATGGGAGAGGGAGGGAAGGAGGAACAGACCAAGTTAGTTATAGTTAGAATAAAGCAACAAGATTGATCAACTTTTCCCCTTTTGACCCTCAGCTTCCTTACTCAATTACCTAGTAACTAGGTAATAATTAGGTAATAAATAGTTGAGCAACTAGGTCCTAGCCAATTAATTCCTTTAGGGTTGAGATGCCTAAAGATCTGCACAACTCCCATTAGAGGCAAAGAACAGAGCAAGAAAACTTCTCTCATGATGTGCCAAATTGACCACCACTATATGAACAGGTTGGGCTGATCACGGAAACACCAGTGATACCCAAAAATGGGGGAATTGATGAGAGCAGGACACCCCCTCCCCAATCCAAAGAGAAAATACCTTGGCAAATACAGGAAAAACCCAATATAAACTAGTCCAGAGGTAGGCAACCTTGGCTGTTTTATGACTCGTGGACTTCAACTCCCAGAATTCCTGAGCCAGCATGGCTCAGCTTGGAAACCTCTCCCTTTCCCTTCAGCATGGCTGGCTCAGGAATTCTGGGAGTTGAAGTCCATGAGTCATAAAAGAGCCAAGGTTGCCTACCCCTGAACTAGTCTGATTCAGCGGCAGCCTCAGGCTAAATAAACAAACACTTAACACACACTGGCCACAAAGTATCAAGTCTAAACTACAGGAATGCAGAACCAGCTAACACAGTGGTTCTCAACCTTTCTAACGCCGCGACCCCATAATACAGTTCCCCATGTTGTGGTGACCCCCAACCACTTATACATCACCAGGTGCCAGGGGTGTGGCCAAAGAAAAGGGGGAAAATGGCGGACAGTCTTGTTTGGTGACCCCCGTGAAATGGTCGTTCGACCCCAAATGGGGTCCCGACTCACAGGTTGAGAACCACTGAGCTAACAGCAATTAGGATTGACAGGATTAGAATAGAAACACTAAAAAGTACACAACAATAAAATAATCACACTGGATTCCTCCTGGAGCAAAAATTAACACTTTTTAAAGACAGAATTGATAAAGAAACTAACCCAACAATAGACACTGACCAACAAATCAGAAAAGACAAATTTTAAACTCACAAATCAGAAATGACAATTTTGGAAACCATGAAAGGATATAAGAACTCACGTTTGAGGACCATTCTGTCTAGCTAGCCGGGGATTCATGCTGAATTGTCACTCAATTTTAATCTCCATGATTAAACCTCTCTTTCCAGTAGCTGGCTTCACATTCTATTTGTTCTCCTCTGTGCTGCTTGTGAGAATCCCAGCTGGAAGAGCCTGAATGGGGGAGTTCCTCCCAATACCTTCTAGCATTTGAGAAAGAAAGGAGCTTGGGAACTCCTTTTGTTCAAACCCACAGCATAGAGAATTCTTCAAAACCTTGTAAATAACAAAATGGGGGAGAGAGCCATTAAGTCAATCATTAAGTTCTGTGAGCCAGGCTTTAATAAGAAATGCCTATTTTCAGTTATAACAAAATTTCAAAGTTCAAAACAGAGACATTTATGTGTGAAAGGAGGAGAACTAATGAAGGCCACAGTCACATGTACAAAATTCCCAACTAAATCAACATAGTCAGTCTAACTCAGTGGTGGCGAACCTATGGCACGGGTGCCAGAGGCAGCACTCAGAGCCCTCTCTGTGGGCACGCGTGTCGTCGCCCCAGTCCTAGGCCTTCAGCTGGGTTTTATAAAACCTTTTTGCTTTAGGCCTCCGCCACCATGTACAAAAAAAAAGGTTCAATCAATCAGTCAATTTCAACTTCTTGCAGGAAAAAAAAGATCTTGCAAAGTTGGAATTAATTGATTGAACTTTTTAGTCCCACCCAGTCTGCTGTTACCACCGTAGCCACGCCCACCCAATGGGCCACACCCACCCAGCATCCAACGATGCATAAGTTTGTTTTGGGTTGCAGTTTGGGCACTCAGTCTCTGAAAGGTTTGCCATCACTGGTCTAACTTATTTATTCAGAAGATAAAAATGTGGCACTTCTTGCAAAGAGAATAACTGACAAAGTCCAACTCCTGCTTAGATGGAAACCAGCATTTCCCTCTACCTCTTCTTTAAAAAAAAAATAAAATTAAAACTATAGAAAAAGCATTATTTTCAGAAAAACTATTCTTGAAAGTCCTGTGTCTAAAAAGAATACAAGAGATCAAGGTAGCTATCAGTGACTTCTTTTTTTTTCTTTTTTCTTTTTTTTTTTGGTTTAAAAATGTGAGACAGAGGAAGTGGTGAGGTAAATAGTAAAGAGCACCAAGTTGTAGTATAGAAAAAAACTCCTTCTTTCTCTTGTATCAAGGCAGGGGAAGGAAAAGTTAAATCTTTTGTTTCTTGGTAGGGTTTTTTCCCACTCCAGAATAGGGATACTTGCTTGTAATACTTTCAAAACATCCTGAAAGCAAGACTCTAATTGTGCAGCATTCCCTTGCTCAGCAAAGGATACCAACATGGAAGATTATTAGATATTCTATTTTGTTTTAATTTACCAGATTCTATGCCCTTTCAGCATTAATGTCTGCTAGTTGCAGAATGAATTCCAACAAGATATGTTATTTAAAACCTATGGAGGGACAGAATGAAACTTCCCAAAGAGAAAGTTTAGTTACAGTATGAAATTCAAAATATACATTGCTTATACCATATTACAGAATTCTTACCAGATTTTGGATAAGTGACTCTGAATACATCACTATCCCTGACTTTAGAATTTTCTAGTGGCTCAAGGTGCTAATTTTGCTTACCAAATCTGCTGCAAAATTTAATCTTTTAAAATCCAATGATTCTGCAGGTTGCCTTTTTCCTACCAACATAAGAGTATCTGCAATAAAAGAGAAATTAGACTATTTTTCCATTTTAATGCTAGCAGCTGGTGCATAGACGGACTGTCAAGATCTCTCATTCATAAGCTCTTTGTTTCAACCATTCAGAACTGGTAGTCAGCAATGATCCCCAAGAAAAAATAACCTTGAGAAAGTGGAATTGTTTACACAACTGTTAAAACTGTAACTTAAAATGTTACATTTAAGGGTTTCAGTCTAATCAAAAGAAAAACGAGCAAGTTGGAATTGTTATAGCTGCTACATATTCCTGGGAGATGGAGAAGGTTCTGCAACTGAATGTTAAAAAAGTAATAAAAATATATGTTGGCATCATCTCTGATGGAAAGGATAGTGAGGAATTTTAAGGAGTTCCTCAGATTTAATAGATAATGGCATTACTATAAATGTGTTTTAGCAGAGGCTGCAATTTAAAAGCCCAATGTTTATTTGCTTATTGTAATGATGATTTGTTTTTTTTAATCCTCTTTATGCTTGTGATTTTTCAGATCATCTGGCGTTTGGCTATCGGCCATTCAATTCTAGCTTCTCTTCACTGAATAAATTATTAAATTGTTCAGTCTGTAATGTGTCCTGTGGAGAGAAGGGAGTAAATGTTGTCATATTGGTATGTTAATATGATGGATCTTGATGCGCACTGTGGCTATTAACCAAAGAAGGTAATCACAGTCTTTAAGGATAAGCTGTATTTTCTTTGATGTTTACATAACTTTCTGTAAGTGGAATCTTGCACCTGCCTTGTTATAGATCTACATGAGTAACATTAATGAAAATGAAAAGTTGGGTTTTTATACTGTGGTTTATACTGTTCAGAATAAAAAGACTATTTTCATAAGATTTCCCTTAATAGGTGAACACAATAAACTACTCAGATGTAACTTTGTGTGTCATTCTTGATTCCTTACATAAATTCTTACATAAATCTTGCCAGATTAAAGCAAGCATAACTATGTATACTTTGTGAAATACTAGGGAGGGTTCCACCTTTGTCCTTTTCCTGCATATCAAAGACTCCAAACTTTGCTTTCTGTTCTCCCTCTGGGAGAGGGCCTCTCCTTCCTGGGACTTTGTATTACATTGTTGTGCACATTCTGAGGTTTTGCTTGATAAAAAATACAGGAAACCAGAAGTTGCCTTTAAGCTTTACATTTTTATTCAGGTGAACAAAGATGGGTTCCTCTAAAAGAGAGAAGCCCCGAATGACAAGAAATCTTTGTATTTATTCTTTCTGATTACATAAGCAATCCACTCAGCAAAGCTGACACACAAACAATAAAGATTTCACCCAGTAAGTCTGGCACACTGTAGATAAGAAGGTAGAAAGCAGAAGTAGCTAAAAATGTTCCCTTTTGGGTGTTTCCGGGTGGGTTAGGACATTGGGTGTTTTCCTTGCTGTCCTTTCATGCATCCATGACTGCAAGTGCCCAAAGACAGCAGGACAATCTGCACATATTCACAATTGATACTTCCTATGCTGTCTCCTAATTCTGGGTCAACAACTTTCCACCACAGATTATTTTTTAATGATCTCAGGTATAACACAAACAGCATCTGGAGCCTATTGGCTTTAAGATAGTCAGTCAATCAGGATGCCTCTTACACTGAAACTGATGCCAATTATGCACTTGCTCAAGATCAGGTTGATTCTCATTCATGTTACAAAATAGGCCTACATATAACCCTCTGGAATATTTTTTTTCAAGCTTGAGTTATTACTAGATTAACTGGAGTGGGGGCAGTGATTTTCCTGATCCTCTGGTGATATACAAGAAAGGGGAAGAATCTCTCATCCTGACTGATTTCTATCAAGACTCTTTCAGTGCCATTTTTTTTCTTTTCTTTTAAAAGAGATTTATATTGGACCTTTAAGCTCTTTAAGAGATGTATTTGGGCCTCTGAAGGGAAGTTCTTACTTTTTTTACATGCTTTTTCATCTGTGCACAATTCTGATCAAACCAATTATCATTTTTATACCCTGATTTCCAAAGTGTTGTTATGATAGAAACTGATTTGAGGTTAATTAATGTTTCATGCTATTCTAAATATGGTCAGGAATTCAAAGAACTGAACTGATTCTTGAGTTACACTAAAGGTCCGTTGGCACCATTCTCAGTGTCCTGATCTTTCCATGAAAAAAGATGTTGAGACTCTAGAAAGAGTACAGAGAAGAGCAACAAAGATGATTAGGGGACTGGAGGCTAAAGCATATAAGGAAAGGCTGCTGGAATTGGGTCTGTCTAGTTTAATGAAGAGAAGGACGAGGGAAGACATGATAGCAGTGTTCCAATATCTCAGGGGCTGCCACAAAGAAGAGGGAGTCAAGCTATTTTCCAAAGCTCCTGAAGGCAGGACAAGAAGAAACGGGTGGAAACTAATCAAGGAGAGAAGCAACCTAGAACTAAGGAGAAACTTCTTGACACTTCCTGCCTCCAGAAGTGGTGAATGCTCCAACACTGGAAGTTTTTAAGAAGAGACTGGACAGCCATTTGTCTGAAATGGTATAGGGTTTCCTGCCTGAGCAGGGGGTTGGATTAGATGACCTCCAAGGTCCCTTCCAACTTTATTATTATTATTATTATTATTATTATTATTATTATTATTATTATTATGGATCATCGCAGTCAGCCAGATGTTCAGACTGGATTTGGCATTTTGTCTACCTATCAAGTTCTTACCCAGGACCTGGGATAGGCAGAGGTGGATATTTGATGGTATTACAGATATTGTCGCAGGATGGAAGCAGTTCCTAGTAAGGCCGCCTTTTGCAATTGACTAATAGCGAATTTGTCAATGCCAATGGTGTTCAAGTGGTGCTCCAGTTGTTTTGGGATTGCATCCAAGGAGCATATCACTATTGGTACTACCCTTGCTTGCTTTTGCCACAGTCTTTCTATTTCTATTTGTAGGTCTTTGTATTTTGTTATCTTCTCCAGTTCTTTCTGGAGAAGATAACAAAATACAAAGACCTACAAATAGAAATAGAAAGACTGTGGCATTTGTAGGTATTATTATTATTATTATTATTATTATTATTATTATTATTATTATTATTATTATTATTATTATTATATACTGTACAGGTGACATGATTGTACTCAAACACTCTATCCTGATGAAAGACCAGAAAGAGTGTAAGCTTGTTTCTTTTATGCTGGTATACTAATATTATATTGCAATTTTGGAAGGTGTCTAGCAAAATTTTTCCAAATGGATCAGTGCCAACTTAACCAATGCTACAAATTAAGCTTATACCTACAGGTAGTCCTCAGTTAAGGATGGTAATTGAGACTAGAATTTCTGCTGCTAAGCAATGCAGTCATAAAGCACAGCATCACATGATTGCATTGCTTAGTGATGGGAATTTCGGTAGTCATTAAGCAAATATTGTGGGTTGTTAAGCCAGGATCTCCTGACAATTTCCTGCCAGTTTTCAACAAGCAAAGTCAATGAGGAAGCTGCCAGGAAGTCACAGGTCAAGGGCAGCTCACAAGCAAGGGAAGAAAGCTGCATGCAGCCAACAGCAGCTACATCAAGGGTCAGGCCAGGCACACCTTGTCAAGAAGAAGAGTGAAGATCAGCTGGGGAATAGCAGGGGGAGTAAACTGCAGGGCAGCTTTGTGTGCTGTCCTACCATGGCAACAACCTTCCCTAACCCAGCTGTACTTGTAAAAGGCCAGATGATGTATGCTGAGTCAGCAGCAGGAGAAAGAAGACAGTGAAGATCAACTGGGGGGTGGCAGGGGTAATGAAATACAGAGCAACCAAAACGGCAGAGATGGGAATGAGAAGATAGATGGAAAAGAATTGAAGTGCACCTTGTGGTCATAAATGTGAGTAATCATGTGTCCATAGAGGAGCTGCAATTGTTGTAACTTCAAGCACAGGCATCTGTTTAGTGCTGCAATAAATGAACTTTTGCTGAACAAATGGTTGTTAAGTGAGAACTACCTGTAATTAGAATCCTGCTTTCTTTGCAAAACGTCTGTCAGTAAAATCTGACTGTTGCTTTAATTGTAGGCTGTCCATTGCTCTGCTGAATTAGTAGACACATAAAAGACTGTCGATGATGAAATTCTTTCACAGAAGTATATGCTAGGCCCTCTGGCATACTATTATGTACATGATGCATGTATAAATAAAACACATAATAGTGCTAGAGCAAAACAAGAAGACAGCTTGATCTAATACTATGAAAATATAAAAGGCAGGGATAAAATTATTGTTGAAAGAAAAATCTTCATCACGGTCCAGTCCAAGCTGGGAATAAGCAAAATGGAGACTGCTTTAGAAAGAAAGTTGTGGTTTATTAAAGAGCAGAGCCAGACAGAAAGATGGCTCTGGGAAAGCTGACCACATGTAGTAGGGAGTGGGTATCTTCTTGAGCTTTTGTTTGGAGTTGTTCTTGTGGCATGAACTTTGACCTGAGCCTGAGGGTGCCTTCCTGTATTCTGATGATGATGAGTTAATCCTATTATGTCCCAAAAGTCATATCCTGCTTCCCTCAGGCTGTGGCTGATGACCTTTGGATTTTTGTTGATTCTAGGGATCTTTGTCTTTCTAACCCAAGCTTCCTGGCTCATCTTTCTGACAAGATTACCACGTCTGCATTTCTGCAGACCTGGTTTCTGTTTGGGGCAGAGAGACTTGGGGGGAGGGAGTTGGTTTCTGCCTTTAAAATCCTTTGGGGAAATATATTCTGCCTTTTTAATATTTCTCAAAATATTTCTTTCTCTGGATTTTTCCCACAATATGATTCAGTTAAATTTTAATTCAATTTCTGTATTCTCTAAAATGTCTGCACTGACTCCTCCTTTTTTTGTATTTACAAATTCTGCTCATTTCTCTGTATGGGATTTTTTTTTAACAAGTTCAGAGTTTGCTTCTCTCGGATCAAATCTTAATCTGTTCTTTGTAATAGGAATTGACCAACTGGCTTATCTCCAGAGCCAAATATTGTGGACTGAGAGAATAACTAACTCAAAGTAAGCCAGTTGGTTGTCAGCCTAAGGCTGGACCAGAAGTTACAAGTGGCGAGTTTTAGTCTTACTTTAGGTATGAAAGCCAGCTGGGTGACTGGCTCAGTCTTTCTTGCTCAGCCCAATCCACCTCATAGGGTTGTTATTATGGGAAAAATAGGAGGAGGAAAGAGTATTCGATATTCAGGGAACTTAGCCCAGAGAAAGAAATATTAAAAAGGGCAGAAAAATATATTTTTCCTCAAAAGGACTTTTTAAAACCAAACCTGGCCCCAAATCTATCTCTCTGCCCCAAGCAAGACTTTAGCCCCATACAAATGCAGATGTAAAACCATCAGAAAATTGAAGCCAGAGCAATCAAGAAGACAAAAGAGAAGATCTGCATACCCCACCCAAACTCTAGGAGTCATTAGCCCCATCAACTGGGAAGCAGGATATGATAATAGGATTAAACCACAGATATCAAGGCCTAGACAAACACTCAGAAACAGCCTCAAGGTTCATGGCACAGGAACAGGAAACTATTCCAAACAAAAGGCTAGAGGGTATAAAAACCTACCACACCATGTGGTCAGCCCTTCTCTCCTCTGCTCTATCCTGAAGAACCATCTTTCTGCAATAAACTGTAACCTTCTTCCCACAGCAGTTGCCATGTTTGCTTATTTATTCCCGGCTTGGATGAACCAGGATGAAGACTTTACTTCTAACAATATGTTCGCTGCCTTGAGTTATTTATAACTTATAAAGGCAGGATATAAACAGATAAGTAAATAAATAGTTACTCTAAACTTCATAGGCTTTTTAACTCAGCCAAGGGCTCCCATTTAATGTGAAAGATACGGGGGTGGGGGGAGAAGAGGAAATCGGCTAAAACTTGCTGTTGATCATAAAACACATACAAAACTAAGAGTTAAGGTGGGTTCACTAGCACTGGAGACTTCAATTCTTTTCTTAGCCTTGGAAACTCAGGATGGTTATTGTGGGGCTAGAATGAAGGGGGATTTTCTCTGACACGGTCTGAGGCTTTTGGAAATACAGGCTATAACTAAATAAATGATAAAGGCAGCCACCCTTCTGAAGCTTGTGCTACTACTACAGTATTCGTTGAGTTATTCCCGACAGCGAGCTTCCAAGGAGCGCTTTGCTTTAACACTTTCTATTACTACAAGCGCTTGCGTCAAATCGAGGAGACGCCAGCGGCAGGCCCCGCCTTTTCTAATGGCGGAATGCCACGAAGTTGAGTAAGAGCCACAAAAGGCCCTGCCATCTACCTGGCTCACCTATTTTCATCAGCTCCTTAGCAAATTGCCCTTTTCTGTCCCGCTGCTGCTGCTGCCATGGCCTCCGGGACCAAGTCTCTGCTAGGGCACGTCTGCGTGGTGACCGGCGCTTCGCGGGGCATCGGGAAAGGCATCGCGCTGCAGCTATCGGAGGCGGGCGCCACTGTCTATATCACCGCCCGGCACCGGGAAACACTGGAGCGAGCGGCGGCGGAGGTGCAAGGCCGGGGGGGCAAGTGCGTGCCGGTGGTATGCGACTCTACCCGAGAGGAGGAAGTGGCGGCGCTGTTCGAGCGGGTCCGGCGGGAGCATGCTGGCCGCCTGGATGTCTTGGTCAACAGCGCTTTCTCCGCGGTGACCACCCTCTCCAAAGAGATCGGCGTGCCGTTCTGGGAAAGCGAGGCCTCCCTCTGGGACCAGATCAACAACGCAGGCCTGAGAGGCAACTATTTCTGCACGGTTTATGCCGCTCGTCTCATGGTGCCCGCCGGGCGCGGGCTCATTGTCATCGTCTCCTCGCCCGGTGGGCTGCGGTACATGTTCGACGTCCCGTACGGGGTGGGCAAAGCTGCCTGCGACCGCCTGGCGGCTGACTGTGGCGTCGAATTGCGCCCCTTCGGCGTGGCCTGCGTGTCCCTTTGGCCCGGGCTCGTTCGCACCGAACTGCTCCTGCAGCAAGCGGAAAATGTCGAGAAAATATTCACGGACCTGCCGGAGCGGCTGACCAAAGCAGAGAGTCCCGAAGTGAGCGGGAAATGCGTGGTGGCCTTGGCCTCGGATCCCCAGGTCATGCGGCACAGCGGCAAGGTGGTCCTCAGCCCAGACCTTGCCCGTCTCTACGGGTTTAAGGACGTGGATGGGCGAGAAGTCTATAATTATATTTCGGTTCGGGACACCCTTACCGAATTAATGCCTAAACTGTCTTTCCTTTTCTGGTTCATTCCCCGCTTTATCACTTTCCCTAAGTGGGCCCTTGCTCTTTATTCCAGCAAGTTTGCGATCTACCCTCCCATTCAGCCGGCCGATTTTAAACCAGCTAAAAAGGACTAATCGTCTGGTGTACCCCTTAGGAGCATGTTTTGCAACTATGTCAAGCTTTCTTTTGTGAAAAAAATATTGCTTTGGTTGGTTGGTTTGTTTCATCTCTTGAAAATTGGGAAGATTGAGTTCTTGCAGGGAGTTTACCCCTCTACAAACTCTTTTGAGGAATTGCTTCAGGATTTCCCTCTGAAAAAAAAAGCTTTATGACACCATTTCTTACTCTTTACTATGCTACAATCTGCTTTTGTGTTTTTGACACAGCATTAGCTGCTAAGTTACTTAATATTTCTGTATTATCTAAAATGCAAGCTTTGAGGTTTATCAAAGAATCATTCACATATTTGAAAGTGATGGAGCTACTTACAACTAAGAATACCATAGTTCAGTGTTTCTCAACCTTGACCATTTTAAGGCATGTGGACTTCAACTCCCAGAATTCCACAGCAAGCAATGCTGGCTGTGGAATTCTGGGAGTTGAAGTCCACATGCCTTAAAATGGTCAAGGTTGAGAAACACTGCCATAGTTGAAAGAAGTCAAGACATCTGGAAAAAGTGCCTTTTTGTTTTGCTTTCACCTACGGTGAGGCCATTTATATATTCTGCCACAGTCTTTTATATTTTCTCTCCATAAAAACAATTGTCAATTTGGCATGTATGTGATATTCTGAAGATAACTTAAAACAAAAATCTAAACTTTGAAAGAAAAGGGTTCCTTTCTTCCATTCAGTTTTATTGAGGAAGAAATCTTTTTATCTTTATTTTTTTCCAGCCTTCAAGAGATTCCAGAATTCTGTTCATTCCAAAGTCAAAGATTAGCAGAATTAGTCCTGATGAAAGAAAACCCTACAGAGACAGTAGTATATTAAGCTATACAGGACACCCAAATCAGCAAATGTAATCAAAGCCATATCAGAGTGGACATAGAACAAGCTATAAAACATGACAGCGCTCCAGAAAGAAAATTTGCTAAAAACCATTATGAAACAGATAAGGGGGTGTAAAACAAAGTCCTGAATAAGGAGCACAGGCTGGGTGTGTCTGTGTGTCTGTAAGAAACACCTCACCTTTGTTCAGTTTGCTGTCTGTATAATTCTCAAAGAAGCAAGTTCTTCATGTAGTGAAAGACAGAATTGTTATTTTCATAAGACAACCATTGTTTGTTCCTAAAAGGTTTGAGGAAGCTGATATAATTCTTCTCATAAAGTGCTTGCTTGCTTATTATGTATTGTATTCTGTGGCCACAAATCAATAAAACTGAAAAAAAAAACACTACTTAGCTGTTTGAATTTCTTGCTTTACCTTGGAATTAAGGAGAATGTTTTTCTTGTAGCCACTTAAAGATTTTTTCAGTAGTTACAACTTCTTCAGTGTTTAGCACTTTTCATCCAATGGAATTGTGGCAGGTAAAAAATGCCATTAAGGGAGATGGAAAAATACTATAAACAACATTTTAATTAACAGAGGTGATGTTTTGAAAGCATTAACTAATATTATAAACTGGCTTAGTGTAATGACCTGTGTGCAATTCTATGAAGAAACATTTTCACAAGAAGTGCCAACCTAAAGTCACAAATGGTATAAGATATTACACATGTAGGGGAGTGTGGTTTTCCGCACATTGTATAAACTTCCCTTTTCCTATGTGTGTGGTCTCGAGATATGAACTTCTCTCTTTTAGTATGTTAAAGGTAGATAAGAAGTCATCCTTTGGGTAAAAGCGTGGGTGACAAGCTGTATAAAAATGACACCCTGGGAGTAACTCAGGGTTCAGAATTTGTCATATGAATACTCTGAACCTTTGCACAAATAAAACCTGTTTTCTCCGTCTCTTTGTGGTCTTGTCTTCTGATGTAAGTATCATGGTTTTTCCACTACAGAATAGTTAAAGGGCAGGAAAAATAAGACAAGATTGATTTGTGAAATATGGCGATATTCCTTAGTGTAAGGAGCAGCCACAGGGGAGGGAAATTGGTGTTATAAGATTGTACTAGGGAAAACAACCAGGAGGATATCCATGATACCCATATTATCTTTTCTCCTAATTGTTCTTGTGCCTGCTCTATTTTTGAAAATTGTGTACCATTATTAGAAAATAGATTTAAAAAATTATTTGGAGATTCAGATGTGAACATGGTATATGGAATTACTCTCAGCAGCTGTGGAGGTGTAATGCTAAAATAATTGATAAAATCAGTCAAATGCAAAAAGCAGCTTTACTTGGAACAGCTTATATATTATAATGGCTGTCATCTTCTTAAACTTAAATCTCTTAAACTTCCAGTGTTGGAGCATTCACCGCTTCTGGAGGCAGGTTGTTCCACTGGTTAATTGTTCTAACTGTCAGGAAGTTTTTCCTTAGTTCTAGGTTGCTTCTCTCCTTGATTAGCTCCCATCTGTTGCTGTTACCTTTAACATTATTAAACAACTTCTGCCTACTTTGGGTCCTTGGGAAGGACTTGATAGGTCGATAAAACTGTCTAATCTGAAAATCTGTCTGTGCAACAAACCATAATAAAGTTGCAGGCCAAGCAGATAACAAGACCTGGAAATGGCTGAGAGCAGGAAAATTGAAGAGACAGAAAAGCTAATTCTGATTGCACAAGACCAAGCCTTAAGAATAAATGCATATAGCCAGAATTAAGAAGACAGCAACATTTTAGCAAATGTCACCTCTGCAAAGAGCTGAAGAAACAATGGACCACCCTGTTAGTTGCTGCAAGTAGATGGGACCAACTGACTACAAACAATGGCATGACAAAATAGCAACAACAGTGCATTGGAAGATCTGCAAGAAATACCATTTGCCTGAAAACAAAAACTGGTGGGACCATAAAATAGAGAAAGTAATAGAAAGTGAAGAAGCTGAAGTGCTCTGGGACAGAAAAGCACCTGCCACATAACCCCCAGACTTAACAATTGTCAATAAGAAAGACAAAAAAGTTTGGATAGTGGATGTGGCAGTACCTGGAGACAGCAGAATATAAGAGAACTGGGGAAAAGTCACAAAATATAAAAGATATATAGATAAAAATAGAATGGTTGTGGCAAAAGAAAGATAGTACCAATAGTTATAGGTACCTTGGGTGCAATCTCAAACATCTGGAGTACCACTTGAACACCATCAGCATTTTACAAAATCACTACCAGTTAATTGCAAAAGGCAGTTTTATAGTAAAACTTGAGTTATTTATACAAATAATAAAGGCAGGATATAAATGAATGCCAACTTCTTTTTTCTAATCTTTCAGTCACACAATGTATTGGCTACTGAGGTTTCACCAATAGCAAGGAAGAAATCTTTGCTGTAGGATTTCCCATTCTGAGAACATATCCCTTCATCTGTAGAGATGCATTCTATAGCATCTAACTTAGTTTTCCCAGGAACCATAGAAGTATAAATTAAATCACTTAATTGCTACTTTTTATTTAATAAAACCAACTAGACAGGTTCTCAACAAAACCCAACAACTTCATATTGAAGCAAAGCCATCTGAAAATTGAATATTTTAATATTTTAATAGTCAAGTGCTGAGTATAATGTAAGTCAAGGAATTCAAATATGTTTAAGATCTTTATCATTTCCCCTCTTATAGCTTATTTAGCTAGTTTGAAATTAAGAAAAGAATTTCTTGTTGAATTTTTTTATTCAGTCCCAGAATTTGCCATGAGGTTATGTCCAGGAGTATGAGTGTCTTTCAGTGTAATTTTTGTTTGCTACTGCAGCATAATTTTTGTTCCTGCAGAAAATAAAATAAAATATATTTTATTTTCTCCTTGACATCTATCAACAGAACTCAGGCGACAAAAACAAAGCAAGGGGAAAAGGAGCAGCCCCTTAAAGTTCTGACACCAGCAGAAAATTTAATGAGTAGTAAGAGTGCTGTGATAACTTGACAACTATAATAATAATAATAATAATAATAATAATAATAATAATAATAATAATAATAATAATAACAACAACAACAACAACAATAAAGTTGGAAGGGACCTTGGAGGTAATCTAGTCCAACCCCCTGCTCAGGCAGGAAACCCTGTACCATTTCAGACAAATGGCTGTTCAGTCTCCTCTTTAAAAATTTCCTGTGTTGGAGCATTCATCGCTTCTGGAGGCAGGTTGTTCCACTGGTTAATTGTTCTAACTGTCAGGAAGTTTCTCCTTAGTTCCAGGTTGCTTCTCTCCTTGATTAGTTTCCATCCGTTGCTTCTTGTCCTGTCTTCAGGTGCTTTGGAGAATAGCTTGACTCCCTCTTCTTTGTGACAACCCCTGAGATATTGGAATACTGCTATCATATCACCCCTAGTCCTTCTTTTCATTAAACTAGACATACCCAGTTCCAGCAACCGTTCCTTCTGTTTTAGCCTCCAGTTCCCTAATCATTGTTGCTCTTCTCTGTACTCTTTCTAGACTCTCAACATCTTTTTTACATTGTGGTGACCAAAACTGGATGCAGTATTCCAAGTGTAACCTTACCAAGGCATTGTAAAGTGGTATTAATACTTCACGTGATCTTGATTCTATCCCTGTTAAGGCAGCCTAGCACTGTGTTGGCTTTTTTGGCAGCCGCAGCACACTGCTGGCTCATATTTAAATGATTGTCCACTAGGACTCCAAGATTCCTCACAGTTACTACTACCTCTACATTTGGTTTTTCTTGCCTAAATATAGAACCTTACTTTTTTACCATTGAATTTTATTTTGTTAGATAGCGCTCAGTGTTCAAGTCTGTCCAGATCCTCCTGTATCTCAAGCCTATCTTCTGGAGTGTTGGCTATTCCTGCCAGCTTGGTATCATCTGTAAATTTGATGAGTTCCCCATCTACCCCCTCATCCAAACCGTTGATGAAGATGTTGGAAGAGCACTGGGCCTAGAACAGAGCCCTAGGGCATCCAACTACACACTTCCATGTAGATGCAGTTCCAGTGAGGACCACACTTCCATGTAGATGCAGTTCCATTGAGTACGGCTGGTCAACCAGCTATGAATCCATTTGGTGGGGATGCTGTCTAACCCACATTTTTCTATCTTATCAAGTAGGTTGTGATCTACTTTATCAAATGCCTTACTAAAGTCCAAATAAATTATATCCACAGCATTCCTCTGGTTCACTAATTTTGTCACTTGGTCAAAGAATGCAAGATGATTTGTCTGGCATGATCTGTTTTTGACAAACCCATGTTGGCTTTTAGTAATGACTTTGTTTGCCTCTAGGTGTTCGCTGATTCGTTGTTTGATTATCTAATTATTTTAGGATTAGCTTTCACAGACTACAGACCACTTTGTCAGGTTCATGCAGTATAATTTTCAGGGTATATGTTCTTGTGTGAAATAGACGCAACATACCCACATGAATGTAAGGATTCCAAGACAAATATACTTGTTTTAGAAGGAGGGAGCAGTCAATAAGTATAGGCAGTTTTATTATATTTGAACTGAAATATTTTAAAAGACTAGCTTCTCTATTGCAGAGTATCCATACAATCAAAATAATTTTTCTTCTGTCTTCTTTACATAATCTAATCAATCTTCCTGTTCTACACCTGTCCTTCATCACCCGACTGTAGGAAGTCAGATACATTTATATGCACAAGCAATTTTCCATCCTTCTATACACTTCTAGAATCTTAGCTTTCATCAGTGCTGCCCACATAATAGCAATCACATCTAGACTTATATGCTGCTTCACAATTCTTTACAGTCCTCTCTAAGCTGTTTAGAGTCAGCATATTGCCCCCAACAATCTGGGTTCTCATTTTACTGGCCTCGGAAGGATGGAAGGCTGAGTCAACCTCGAGCTGGTGAGAATCGAACTACTAAACTGCTGGAAGCTGGCAGCCACCATGATTGCGAGCCTTCACTTCTCAGAGCTGTAATGGTATGAGGGAATGCCAATGGATGTCAGGAAGAACTGCAGATGGCGTGTAAACTAATGTGTAAAAGATGTCTCAGCCCACAGAAGGAGAGAGGGCATGGGAAGAGTTTCAAAAGGGATCCTCCAGAGTTTTCCAGACAGCAAAAGAAGAAAGGAGAAGTAATTTCAGTTTTGGAAGGTTCCATTAATGTAACCTTACTACAGAACAGAGTTAACCCTCATATTTGCGCTTCTTGTCTGGACTACCTGGAAGGGCTAACAAAGCACAATTATGTGTTTTCTAAAAGAAGAGAGACATACAAAGTACTGAATCCCAGATCATTAACAGCAGCTAAACAGCAGAATCTCCTTTAAAAGGTTTTGATTTCCTCACCTTAAGATTTCTAGGTTTGGGATCC